TCATTTTTATAGAATCGAGCGGGATTCATGCTGAATACGCAACTGTGTTAAACCGGGATCTTCGCTTGAGAGCTGAATGCGAAATGGCGTCGTACCGCCAGCTGTGTTTCTAACAAACTGTCGGCTCCATAAACCATAAAACCTAACGAGGAATATTTACGCGTAAGACTAAGAAGTTCTGATTACTGCGCTCATTTTTTTTTTATCTTGTTCGTATGCCATTTCTATGAATGACTCATGGGATCACCTCTCGGCTATTTACTGCAAGCTACAGATTGTAGCATCGTATCATATTCAAATTTGTCGTTTCCGTCACGACTAAATCGAGCGCTTTCCTGGCGCGATTTATGACCCTCGATGAATCATACGCAGCGGTCTAAATTGTATTTTTTCTTATAGCAAATATAGTGGTGTAAGAAAAAAATTGACACGAGCTTCGCCGTAGGCTGACACTGGCTTTCAATGTAACAAGGTAATGTTTTCTTTTTGTTGTACTAGTTTCGATTGTTCTATGGTCTAAGGTTCTATTACATAGGGCTGTCTGATTTGTTCTAGGCCGTATCAGCCCGGACTGAACTGAGCATTCCGAAGCTTTGTATCTGGCTTCGTTCAATCTAGCATCTCCTTTCATTTTCTATCTGATAGCAATCATCATCAACAACAACAAAATGCGATAGCAATAATTCTATATATTACTGATGTTCTTTTGTTTGTACACCCCTCGGTCTCAAAGGTGTCGAGCATGAATAGCTTCCATGTGAAAAGCTCGCGGTGACCAAAGCTGTTCTTAAGGAACTTCAAATTAACTTACATCGCTGTATATCAAAACAGGAACTGTTGTATTTTATTATAGATTTGTCTCACTGAAGCATTCCTATTGTACGTATGCAGTGTTCACAATTTAAAGGTCGTCATCGATGCCGCATTATGTAGTCAGTGTGGCCCGATCACTGGATGTCCCGTGTTTCCTTCGCCTTTAGCTTGTTCTCAACCTTTTTCTGCTACTATTTTCTAATCCGTATTACCGTGATACGCAATAAGCAGAAAAGGCCCATCTGCTCCACCCTTAAAACATCAAGGCATTGGAAGAAGTCGTTTGGACTTCGTCGACAGATTTACAAGACTTTCTTGGGCTCTTCTTCACCGCACACCGTCTTTCGCCGCAGTCGTGGTTCGCCATTACCTCAAAATCAGGTTGTATATCTTTTCGATCACGATGAGAAAGTAGACCTGCATCGTGTCCACTGTTCTAGAAATACCTATGGAAACATCATTCACTACTACAGTGAAATAGGGCAGAGTTTGCCGCAGTTAACTCACGCAAATGCCGCTAAGGTTGACGTCTTTTCAACAATAGACCTATTCGAGCTGGGTGGTCTTGTTGGAGTGTGTGTGTGTGTGGCCTGTGTTAGCTTGTATACCGACTCGGAAATCCAATGTGTCGTGTACAATTTCGATCGATAGAAGCTGCTTTCTCGAAAGGCTTGAAAAAAGGACGACAGATTGTTTTTGTATAAGATTTCTTTCCTTGTGTATTCGAAGCATTTCGCTATAACGGTTTCTTTTACGGAATGCTACATCTCTTCACCCTGACACGACCTAGCTATTCTTAGCCTCGATGCATTGCAGCCTTCTCTGATTAAATCGAGTTTTATCCCATTTGACCGCCAGTTCGTCGTATGAATTTTCCTCAGAACGTAAGCCTACTTCAGATATTCTGAACCTGTGCGACTATTGGGTTCGTTATCAGAAATTATTAAATTTATAGCTTCATAATAACAATCGTATCAAAAAAATTCTATTCATAATGTGTAAGGTGTAGCAACGGTTTTTGAGGCGTAACGAAACAATTGTCTAAAAATTGTGCTTAGCTAAGGCGGGGAAATTGTTGTTTTTAATTGGTCATATCGCCGTCAATTTTACCGTTTATTACCACAACCACCTCTACTATTATCTCCGGTAAAATTATTGTCCTTAACTCAACCCTAGTGACATGTATTTGCGAACTGTCGCCTCGTTGCTCGGCTACTGCAGATTTTTCTCGTTTTGTACCTCTAACGGACACAGGCAGACATACAAATTATAAATAAACACATCAAACCTATATTTGTTAGACGTAATATTGTTCCGTTCATTTCCTTTAGGGGTAACCTTTGTTAGTTGATATTAACCCTTCAGCATCTGTTGCCTTCAAGCTACTTTAATCGGGCGCAGGGTTTAGCGTCGTATTCGACAACTGTATGACTATGTCGGCTGACCTGGCACTTCAAAACGGAGTCTACGATATAACGCGGTTCGACGCTGAGCTCTATTTCATAGGAGGGCGGAAGTATTACAAGGCTGGCGCGAAGGCACGATTCCTATATGGTGTTTAGGGTGCAGATTTTTCTTCGTTCATGAGTATTCAGTGAGTGTCTCTGTTGGCATCGGCAGAAAGTGGACGCCTAGGGATGCCAGTGCACAGGTTAGGGGCCAGGCAGGGACATGCGGAGGTGATGACAATCTGAAGACTGATTCACTTCACTGAGCCGGTTGGCATCGCGACTTGTCAGAGCCGAAAGCTGCGATAGAACGATATTATATCTATGCGATCGTCGTAAAATCATCAAGTGAGATTTGGACGAATTATACCGCTTTTTTTTAGATCTCCTTTATTTGGCATCGCTTACGCGTGCTAGCCACAATAATCGATCGCATAGAGAATTGTGCCTAATCGGAAGGTCTGCTGAACTGCGACAAAATCATAAATGGCTGATGGATAACGGATTTAACGGAGCTAGTCATATTTTTGTATGAGTTGTGCGTATATGCTGCGAATTTTCACAAACCTCGGACATTTGGAGAGCGTTAGAGAGATATAGATTCGTACACAAATCGAGCAGGGCCGAATTACAATGTATCCAGTAGATAGATTCAAGTACTGCTGTGGGGGTGTTCTATAAGACAAAAGGAATTATTTGTTTAGATGGAAGCAATTGTCTGGCTATGTTAAAAATGTCTCTGCATCTCTTGCAACCTGAATGTTTAAGTTTAAGCGTACGCACACTATTTTCACTGTGTATAACCAAAAGCAAGTGTAATTTTCATTCCTTTCAATCATCTAAAACTGAATAGCAATAATCGGTAGATGCGTTTCAACAACTTCAGTCGCTGAAAATATTCTCCATGATTAGTTGATCAGTAAGTCGAGGCTTTCCACAGGAAGTGAGTCCTGTAAAATCCAATTTTCGAGTCTCTATTCACAGCATCTTTGGGTCAAGTGCAAAACCACCCAACGCCCACGTTCATCCGCTTCTATTTTGCCAAGAACAGCTTTTTCTCAACTTCATTTGCCGCTCTGTCGACAGACACGGAAAGGCTCAACACTTTAGTATTCGTTGTCGTCGTAACGCAGCGGTAGACTGCATCTGTTTGATTGCCCTTCGAACTCTTTCCGATCGACGTCACACCTCCGGCTCTACCGATGCTCACCTCTCTTTGACTATGTACCTCGAGCTAAATCTTCTTTCGCTCGTTCCACAGTCCTCAGATGCGCTGTCCAATCAGCCAAAGCAGAGCGAATCCTATCAGATGGTTCGCCGTCTCCTATAAGGCTTCACTGTAATCTGAAGCAACGCTTGACGACAGTGGCGGACGTTAGACTCGAAACATTTAAGCCTCACCAAAGCCCTCAGCTTTCTTTTGTCGGTGCAACACTACAATATCACTATGCAATACAGTAAGGATGACATGATAGACGGGTCGAGGCCTTAGCGCATTCAACCAGCCTGAGTATTTTCCTTCTAGCCAGCAAACCCAAATAATCAAGTAAATTCTGGCGCTGTTGACTTAACCTCAGTGCATTTGGTTCCTCAGACGCACATATATATGGGCGTTTTTCGAGCTTTCAAATTCTGGGTCTGATCTTTAAATACAGCTTCTTGCTCTTCTTGCTGTTCGTCGTTGAACTCTTATTCACTGAAGACGTACGGTGAACTAAGCCACAGGTCAGTAGTCGCTTCGATCAATTCCGTATTGTATGGCAGTGTATATACGTCATCACAGATGTTATCATGAGCGATTTTTCTAATTAAAAGTTGCTATTGCTACCTTCGATCAGACGCGTGCAGTATGGAGCAGTGAGGTTGTCATGAGGCATTATTATTATATGGTGTCGATGTGACGGATCGTGACTGATCACTGCGTGAGCATTTTCATTTTCCTAATATTAATATTTGAAATACTCTATATTATTAGAGTAGCGAGTGTTTCCTATAATTATTCACTATTATAACGTGCAAAAGTCAAATTATCTATGTTGTTTACTTGCTTAGCGATAGGCGAACTCCAACATGGGCTAAGCCAAGCATTGTAAAACACCTTATCTAGTCGCTACACACCTAAGCGGAGCACTTTCCAATAGACTTGACCTGTTAATATGTACAGTAAAAAATGACTGACTAGGTTTGTCTGTTTGATTTCGAAAAATATTAATATTTTTATTGCGTTTAATACAAAAATATCAGGATGTAAACTTTGACAAAATTGCTACGAAACGAAGACCGCATTCTCCCGAGTCTTTGAACTCGAGCAGTAAACTTTAATAACCAATCTAATAAACGAATCAAGCTTCTACCTCGTAACCTCTAGCTATGTTTCCCGTTTGTGTTGACTGTATCAAATTGGCTAGCTACTTACTTATATAATACTTAATCTTTCTCATTTTAACAATTTGTTAGTGATCCAATATACATTTACATTGTTTAGTTGCGACTCTTACCCTCGTTGCATCTATTCATTTAAACCGTATGATATAAACGATACAGTTTTATGTTCCGATGCTCTAGCCTCTGGCCATCAAATGTCAACTCTCCACGGTCGCAAGGTTGCCGCCCAAGGCTAATGGGAACTGGTAATTCAATTAGATCAGTTTTTCAAGTTGATTTTTCGAGCGGATCTCGCATACTGCCTGTCATATTGCTAACCTTACAAATGTTTCACTTGTCTGTAACTTTTTTCAGGAGGTGGCGTAGAGGTATCGAGGATATGCATAGGTGAACCCAATCGGTCACTGGGGTCGAAGAGTCCTATGATCTGCATCCCATCGCGGGGTTTGTTTGCCAGAGACGTCAGTGACAAAGGAAAGGTCCTGTGTTGTGACGGCTATTAGCCAGGACCGCGAGCCAAAACGGTGGGCTCGCCTTTGCTAGTTGCGATGACGGGGCCATCGAGTACCCGGAAAAGCCGATTTTCCTTAAGAAGTCTATTTGGTTCAACTCCGCCGGCGACCTTTACACAGTTCGCAGCCAGATTTGTCGAAAGGTAACTGATTAACTTGTGTTACAGGTTATTACGTATAGGAACAAAATACGTAATACGAAAATATGGTATTTCAAGGTTCAGCGTTAAAATTGAGATTGTAAATATTATCATTCGAAATTATTCTTGGAGTAAGAATTACCCAAAGGTGTTCAGATTTCTAAATACTTTCAGCTAATGAATATAGATATAAATGTGTGGGGATTACTATTTTTAGGAGGTATAGATTGTTTAAGTTAGAGACTTGTTGATCCTAATAACTAGAGATGTCCGGCAATGGTGTAGCCGATATTAGTCCTTTAACAATTAGGCGCCGAAACGCTAGAAGTAATCTGGCTTGTGTAACCTCTACGTACATCAACAGACAAAAAGAAGCTAGCTATGCATCCTATAATTCTGTGTACTCTTCAGTTCACATTTGTTGGTACGTACAAACTGCCTAGTAAATCATACCAGGTATCTTGCCTAACAGCTGAAACGCCTCACGGAAACCGTACTAATGGTTTAAAAAATTGTTTATAAAGTTAGGTTTTCGGAATAACTTACTGGTAAATATCAAGCTTTAGAGTTCAGACCATAGGGTAGTCTGATATTATAGTTTTTACAAACTTGATGTGACGATGGATTTACGATCAGGACGGCGCAATTCTTAGGTTATTCCGTATTTTCTCTAAAAGCTTTTTCTTAAGCTTGGAGCTGTTTTTGAAATTTTGTTATTTATATTGTCTCAAGAAACCCGCTGTGCTTACTACGAATAAAAAAAAACAGCATGACAGCATGATTGATGTATGAATCTAGATATAAAACTCTGTTCTATGAAGATTTGCTTAGAAGGGAGGTTCTTAACCTGTTTAAGGTTAATTTAAATGGTTTCAGTAAAAGTTCAGGCCTACTAATTCGATACCGGATTGATATTCTGAAGTGGAATCACCTTTGAGATCTATCTCTGTACTGAGAAAATACCTATGGGATTTGACATTACGTCTTGCACATAACGGTAACTATAATAGTGAATGGCATTGTTTATTGTTTCCGACATCAAATACCTTGAGGCCGGTCAGAGCATGTGGTTGGCGATCAAGCCCAAATTGAAGCATGACCATGGATGTATCTTGCGGAACTTTTTTTTTGAGGGTAGAAAGAAACCTTATTAAAAATCTATTTAGGATCGACGATCAAGTAAGTTACACAAGCGCAACAGTCGGTTGCGTGACGACACGTTGCGGCGTGTTCGCCGGTGCCTCCTTTGCAGCTCGTTCACCGTAAACTATCTTTTTTTCTTCCTAATTGTGTGACACAGATTCATAAGGAAATAGGAGTTCGGACGTAGGTGCTAGGCTTGTAAGAGGATCATTGAAACTTTAGCCCACTGAGCTATTTGAGCCAACGGAGCAGTGGCTGTGATCTTCAGCAATACTAACTTTCGAGAAAAAAGCAAATACTGAAAAAATGCTTTACCTTAATGTCACATTCGAATTGATAAGGATCGATACGGTCAGCGAACCTTATGCAGGCGTCTACGATCTCACGCTCTGTGCCTTATAGCAACAAGATGTAAAATGCTTAAAGACTTCGCTTTCAAGTTAAGAGGAATTCACTAGTCTTCTCTGAACCTGTCAAAGCAGTAGACGTAGGTTCCATACATCGCCATAAATACACGTCTATCTCATTTTTAGCAGGGGCTCGTTCATAAATGAGTCGAACCATGTCTTAGGTGCTTTACGTTTGGAAATTGTAAGACATTACTTTTTATTACAGCTAGTTCGCAGCTATTTATTATTATTAGTTATTTCGCATTAAATATTTGCTAAGTTTCTAGTGGTGCAATCGTATCTGTCCCTCTCATTAATGACAGATCCTGTCATTTTTCACATTGTTTTATTTTACTTCTACTTAATTTACCAGAAATAAAGATCATGGCTATCTCAAGCTCCGTGCCAAATGTACGATAAAAATATAGCGGTATGTTGATGTGAGGTCGCATCGTTAATTTCCATAGAAGTGGGTCAACTGTTAAATGAGCGGGCAGGCATCTGCTCTGGGTTTTGTGACGCCATATTGTAGTTAGTTACATTCAATTAGCCCGAAGCAACATAAGACTTTCGTATTGTGCTGCATGCTTCAGTTAGGCTAGACTTTACATTGTTAATGAAATTTGAAAGTTACTTATCGTGCAAGTTATTTTTCTTCCACTGTCTGGAATTAATTGATATATATGGAATCATACTAGCTCTCAATGTTGCAGACATTCCGTGCATCTCCAATGATTTTTTGTGCCAATAAAAAAAATATAAAGTGAGTTTATTTTCGTACCCATTCACAAACATGTGACCATCGAAGAATTTCGTGAAGTTTAATACTAATGACTCCACCAAGGATCGTATCCCGTCTATTGTGTACAAAAGTAAGTTATGGGCATTTGGCAACCTTTTGACTATCTATACCACGACACCTTCCCATGCGTCCGTTCACGTATTTGCCGCGGTGACAGGTGTAGGTATCATCAAAAACATTTTTATTTTTGCCATTTCGCGACGTTATTGAGTAAGGTAATCGCTCAAGCGATAACTCGCCTTCGTTGCTCATCTGCTCTGTAATTTCGATGTGATTCGATGACCGCGTGGTAGAATCACTTGACAAAGAGTCATGTCGATAAATTGTATCGCAAACGGTTCAGGCTAAATCGTTTAAATGGATTACCTAAAAATGTTTGAACCAACTAATATTATCGTTATTAGATTATTATTTCATATAAATAATAACAATAACGCAATAAAATGTGCAATAAAAACACTAGAATATACTTACTAATAGTACATCTAAGTCCAAAAGAGAATGTCTCGTATGGGGAGCTGCTTCGTATAGTTGGCCATATATCGGCAGTCCCTAATGTTCCTAGCAGAGGCCTCTACGTTTCGAGTTTTACCTTCGCTATCGCCGCTAGGTATTCCGTCGGATGGGCGGCTGCCTTACAGCAGTGATTCTAACGGAGACCTGGCCCGTCTAACCCTGCGTTCAGAACAGCACAACAGATGACGTGTCTGCCTGCTAGTCTTAGGGACACCTGGTCATTTAGGTTCGAACCTCGACACGTCTCGTGTAATCCCTAACGGTATCCAGGCACCGGATGTATACAAGCGTTTCTTTTGCTTATTAAAACCACTGCGGCCGACCAGTACAGGGGCATTGCAATTGGTTGCTCACCAGGCCGTTCAGAAGCCAAGGTAATTTTTCTCTATTGCTCTCCATCTCTAGTGCTTCGTTTGTTAATGGTCGACATTAACGTTGATGTGTAGTTGAAGAGCATCCTCTTTTCTTGTTGCCATTGTTTTGTCAATCGAGTCGCGAATTTTCCAGCGTAACGCGTCTTTCTCAGATGTACGCTTCTCGCCGAAGGCAGAACGTACATAAAATATGTATATATATGTATATTTTTTATACCGCTTGATGATACAAGGGACAAGCCGTGATATCGCAGATTCATCTCTTCCTTTGAACGTGACGCGCGCATCTTTTGAATCTCTCAAATTCGAAAACACTACATTTGAAGTGCCCTTCATCGACTGCGAAAGACATCTCTGCAGCATAAATTCATCACTTTCTGCTCTCCGCATAAAAAATGTACTCGGTATTAGCTCAATTATCACTCACTGTAAGCTATAATCCACTTTATGCCAAGTGCGTTATTTCCCGAATAGAAATATCGCTCCGCTACCGTAAATGATACTAGGAATAGATAATGGAGATGAATACTGAAAGTCAAATAGCAGCTTATCTGTGTGCCAATAGACTCTGGATTCTAAATACTCGTCGCACACATGTGACCCACACACATTTGTGTCTCGACTATCGGTCTCATCGGTGATGTGGCCCTGACGCTCCTAGTTGACGTTTTCGTGGTAGATTATCTATGATAGTAGCGAAGTATGAGGCCAACAGTTACTCGATATGGCACATTCAACGAAATAGAAAAACCTAAATCTTTGAATAAATGAATGTTTTTCCAATCCAACTTGTTTTTTTCAATTTACAAGTAAATCAAATATCTGTTTAGAAACAAACATTTATTTGTTAACGTAGAAAACGACTGATGGAAAATACCTGGTTCATTCTCAATCGGCAACCACGTTATCCCATTAGATCGTACAGCTACATATAAACCCAATAAAGCAATTGTCTTTGTTCTAATATCATGTATGTAAATAAAGGTTTCGATTCTTGCATCCGTTAGTATGTTTACGCCCGGTTGCAAACCTGAGCCGTCTTACTTGCATCTATAACAATTCTCTTTATTATAGGCAAGATGCGAGTCCCGAGGCGGTCCGACAGCATTCGTGGAATGCTGAAAGCGGAACGAGTGGCCAAGGTCCGGATCCAGCTTTAACGGGTGTAGTTCAAAATGCTCATGGAGGAGGGGCGGTGATTGGAAAGGGAGGCGTTAGAGAACGCACCACTGATCAAGGAAGCCATCGGCAGCAGCAACAATTGCAACATCAACTATCGCAAGATGCCCCGACCCTCGAGTGTCCTCTGTGTCTTTTGGAGCTAGATCGGGAATTCTTTCCAAAGGTACACTTTTATGATACGTTACTTGTTTAAACAAATAAAGGATTCCAAATACGTTCGGTACTGGCGTCGACGACTGTTTCAGTGGATTCCAGCATCGAAGCGTGTCTGGCTACAATCTGCAGCTCACATGTCTCCACGTTTAATGGACAAACCTATTACCACTGAAATATCATGGGGCATACTCTACCTTTTAGCCATTTGTTTATCTGCCTTCGAAGAACCCAAAGCGAACACTTTAAAAGCGGTGACAAGCTCAATACTTCGAAATATAAATGTCGCAGCCAAAATCGTTTACCTAAATGGGGCGTATTTTTAGTCGAAATAGTTTTTGTTCACTTATATTAATGATAATGGACATTTTCAACGGCAAGCGGCCAACTTCGCTTTGCGGAGCCTGTAGCACTCTGATTAAGAAGACATCCGACCTTTCGTGTACCTTATTAATGTTCTAGCTATCCTGATCGGCAGCAGCTTTTAGAGTCAGAAGAGGTTTGCTCCGGTCCTTTTCAGAGGTCCCGACTCGGAAAAACGCAAGAGGACTTACTGAAAGGGGCGTTAAATGTAACCGAAAAGTCTTTTAGGGTAACATGGCGAAATTCACCAAATCAGTCGTAAGACGGCTTGCTGTCTGACAAGGCAAAGTGCACTGTAACTATAGCTCTAACAAACAAAAAAAGATTCGCGAAAGACACGGTTTTGGTGGTAGTAACACCAAATATCGTAAAATTTCCGAAGTAACGTTTAAATGATCACGGAACTTAACCAGGCGTGCCGTCCGACTTGATAGAGCAGTCGTATCTTCGGCTCAATCCAGGAAGAGATCAAATGTTTCCTCAAAAATGTATTTGAAAACGTTTGACATAGTTATGTACGCTAGAATTGCAAAGAAGTGACATGACAATTTTGACCGTCGTGTCTATGTTTTTCCAAAAAGATAAACTGCCCCAGGTACAGGTTACTGCCCTTCAATATGTTTCCTGTCTGTCCATTAACTGGCTCCATTCGTATATTTTTCTTCGGTGAAAAATAATTCAGCTCATACAAAAAGTTATTATGTATTTTGAGAGTTCTGAAAAAATACGGCCTATATTTCTTCTCAAAATGACAAACATTTTGTTTCCATATTCCACGAACGCGCACGGACATAAACTTCTGTTTTAGATTATGTATCTGAAGGCCTAGTCTATATGATGTCCCATTTCTCTCTATACCTTGTATCACTATTGTGAGCTGACGTGACCTGTCTTGTGGCCTTTCATTGAGAGCCATAGTTACTCCACTACTCCCACGAAGTAGAATTTTAAAGATATATTATTTAACGCGATGTCCTGTTGTTTACTAGGCTCGTTTTTAACGAAAGTTTTCTCAGTCGGTCAATCCTCTTGGTCACAGAATACTACTGGAAAACTTTAGTAGGTAGAGATGAAGTTTTCCCGAAATCCGACCGGAAGCGCTGAGAGTGAAACGATCTGTGAAACTCTAATATTAGCAGCGTCATTGGAAAAAACATTTTTTGGCTCTAAGCTAAGAGTTACTTAAATATTTGCTAAAGATATTCCGTAGTCATTTTACAACGGCATAGGTTCCTCTTAGTAAAAGTTCCTCGAATCGTTTGATTATCGATACCGGTGTACTTTTGAATTTGAACATAGTAGAATGATAAAGTTAATGATATCGGTAAGTGTGTAATGTTTTTGGCAACCCTGGTGCCAGAACAAGCAATACACCAGACACACCATTATAAGGGTTACGTACTTGATCCGTAACTAAGACTAGCGTAATAGAGATTATTTTGCAGTGTAATTTCTAGGCGCAGAATGCAAAACTAGCTTCTCAAACTTGGCTATGTTTTTTACGTATCTAATGTTCCCTTATATCACAGTTGACGCTGTGCTCTCATAGAGCATGCTGGGATTGTCTGCGCCGATATCTGCGCTTGGAGATCTCGGAAGGTCGGGGAAACATTGCGTGCCCTGAGTGCGCTGAAAATGTCCATCCCAATGACATCCAAAACATACTCAACGAGGACAACGCGGCGATGGCTAAATATGAAGCGTTTATGCTTCGAAGGGTGCTGGCTACGGATCCGGATTCACGATGGTGCCCGGCTCCCGACTGTACGTTCGTCGTTATAGCCAATAATTGCGCAACTTGCCCCAAACTTAAGTAAGTATTAATGTGTATCTAGATAATGTGGTCTGATATCATCACAGAAACTGGTGAACCGTATTATTTCAATAATTTTTGTCTAGGTGGCTTTAAAGAGAAAATGTCCATTGTATTAAACGTTATGTCTGGCCGCGACCGACCATAGCACGACCGCAGCGTTAGTATAGTATAAAGTAACATCAATGTATTCAAGCAGTAGAAACGTTGCCCCAACATGCTCCGATTAAGAGACAATGTACAGAAGTGCTAACTTTCCTCAAAAGAATATCAAGTTCGAGTGAAGCCAATATGGAACACAGGATCCCACGTTGGTTCGCACGGACCGATTGTAGTTGCTCATCTAATAATTCGAATCCGCTTGTGACATATAGTAATAATAACGACAAGAACGTCAGCACTGTTTTCATAGGGCGCCATGTTGAGCTTCAATTAGTACGGGAGGGACCGACGGGTGGCAAATGTTGTGACCAAGTGAAACGGATGCGGCCGAACGTTCGCCGAAATGATCACTCCCCATCCAGTTATTTCTTGTCAGCCACTCTGCTTGTGTGTCTCTCTTAAGAGGTATCCTTAGGCAGTACCAGCCTCAAAATGAATGCCACGCTCTAAGCGAGTTATTTAGCACAGCGCGTGCTTGTTGTCAGCCGTTTTACGCCAGTTTAGGTAATCTAATTTGGTGCCCTGCTGGACAGCGTCGGCCGTCTGCTATCTGTTGATGTCCACAACAATGCATCTCCACGTAAGCATCTATCTACCAGCGGTCTGAAAATAGATCGAACAAACTCGCAGTCCACTTAAACGCTTAAAGCCATATAATCGCCGCGAGAACCTCAACAGAGACTAACCGTCGACGGCGCTAGCGACTGGCCAATCAACTAACGACTTGGTCTTTAGCAAGACTCTATCGGCTGCGTAATGGACGCGGGACGCGACAGCAGGGCGACGACAATGCCAAGCAGTGACATCTCGCTAACGGGGTTGAGGTTCAGAACATACCTAATGTCGAAATTAGAATCCGAGCGTAGGTACAGGTGCGTTTCGTGCTGGAAGCGGACTGTCTAAAACAATGCTTATAACAGCTATAGCGGACGTAAAACTCGAAACATATAGATATCAGCTTATATGTGTTCTTTCGAATGCCCGTTCTTGATACCGATTGAACCTAGCTATCGTATGCTAAGCAAACGCCATAACTAGCGGTTAGCTACCACTGCTACTTGGGTTCGTCATAGCGTGAGAATACTGGACCAATGAAAACAGGAACAGTGGATGTCCTCGGAGCTCATGTTAATGTCAAGAGGCGATGGACCGTCACGGCTAAGCTGCCAGCTTGACAGGTCTTGAAGAACGATCTACCGATCTGTACATGCTGTCAACAGGACATTTCAACGAGAATTTTTACATAACAAAGAGAGTTACTCCTGACCGTTACATCTATTTAGCCCAACCTTTATTCTCCGTAATTACATCTGAAATTCAGGACCAAAACCACCTGCTAATCATTTTCAAAATATACCTTCGCTAATCCATAAATCATGAAGCTCATCTGAATGACTTCAAATATTCTTGTTGCAAATGGCTGCAAATGCCTATATCTAATATTCAGGATTATGAAAAAAAAAAGGCTTTTCGATGAGTTTTCAGGCCTTTTAATTCTAACCCCCATTGAAGGTTTGTTTTGTTGAAACGTTACTCGGATTTTGAAAAGCTGTATGGGGTGTTACAATAACACAGACTGTCGATTTCAAACAAAGAGGAGGGGTAGGGGGTCTACAATCTTAATGGGGGTTTATTCCGCGTGAAGAGACTGGGTAATCGTTAATACTTACTCGAATTCCGATGCGCTGTATGTTTACCGTAACTGCAAATTTATTCTATTATATTCCCCTGGAACGACCTTCGTCTTGAATAAACGCGATCGTGAAAACCATGGAAATGGATCAAAAAATATTTAGATTTAAGCGTATATATATTTGATGGTTAAAAATACATTAACGGCCTTCAGGTCAAAAGTGAACAAAATATGTTCTTTTGAGTATACACCACTTTAATTTACGGCCTTCCTACCATTTTTTCTAGTAATACCAAAATTTCGTCACTGTAGAACTTCTGTAGTTTCTAAGTAACACTTTTTCGATGACTTATTGTAATCGTTTCAGCGGTTTCCAGTTGATATCGGAATCAATTACCCGCTCGTTTCCGATTGCGCCAAAGACGTAGCGTAATTTTCTTTATCGTCAGTTTGGGTTACGCCGCCGATCGTGGAGCTTTTTCCTTACTTTTACCATGACACCTCTCGCACATGACTCTCATACGTGATTCACGTTTTTATGGCATGTGATTACCCGCTTTAGAAATGGCTCCTTTTTGGTTGCGTTCGTGTAGATTTTTTGCGGATAGAAAAACGATCGATGGTATTATTTTGCGTTAATTCGTATGGCACCCAAGCGTCGAGCCTCTTTTTGTGGACAGCTTTCGTCAAATCGTTTAAAACCATTTGGCGGCCCATGTCTACTTCCTTGACGATCTTATGGCTATTCACGCGTCGGTCTTTATCAATTTTCGCAGTAATTTTATAAGTTTTATTTGCTATTGGTCGACCACTGCGAGGAGCATCGTCCGTACATCAAAACTTCCACAGCAAAAGCGATAGAACTATCTGTGGGCCGTTTGTTCCAACAACGCATCTCGACTATAAACAACACTGTTTTTGTGGGTCCAGGTAACACTTCATTGATACTTTTATCGTAACAAAATTTTAAAGTATAACGAATTTGTGTAAACATCTCGCTTATACTCAAAACGCTCTGTGTTAAATCTGGATGAGGACATTACAACAATTTTAGCACATTTGCTATTTTGATGCAAACTTATATAAAAGTTTGCTTAAAAAAATTCGATAACAAATATAATATAGCCTATGTGCTTCCACAGCCATCAAAATAAAAAAAAAACCGACCACATAATGTATTTACATATACGCTAAAGCATCAAAGTTGGGAATTTTGTTATGATTTTCTGTCGTGTGCTAGAAGCGCCATCTATGACGGTTTGCGTTACTTAATTTATCAATTAATCCACCGCGATCACAGCTCCAATTCGGCACTCAAACCGCTTATTAGTAATTTTCGAAATTATTCTTCTTTAATCTGCATATAAAAATCATGTAGTAACTACGCGCCAAGTAGTCACGCATTAAAATGTCGCTTCAATACACTACGTAACAAAAATTCTTGCGGAATTTTTTTAGTTGATACTAGGTCTAAAGTCCTAAAATGATAAAGGCTCAAATCGGGCGAAAGATCCGAGTGGCACAAGGAAATGAAAAGTGTCTCAAAAACGCTAAGCGCTGAAGTTTAGCGTTTTTGAAGATGGCCCAATCGAACATTTGTACTTTTCTCTTCAAAACGGCCATCAATTTCTATGTTAAAGTTCAGATGTGTCACTATTGCTTGTTCGAGTAGTTTTCCAGCTCTTCAAATTTAAACGCCACCGAAGATCTTCTTTTTGATGGAAATTTTTCCGGGTTTTTTTTTAACAACCACGTGAAATCTGGTAGTAATGTATGTAGTTAATTTCAAACAAAAAAAAGCAAGGTGAAAAGATTAACCAACGGACAGCCCTCGCTCAAATTTTGAAAATGGCGCGCTGCTTTTTGCCCGTGATGAATCCCTTAGTTTGTTCTTGAAGGAATTAGCTTGAACATGGTACCATATGAACGCATGCTAATTGTGACAGTCCACGAAAATTTTCCCTAATTTGAACGTACTATTTTGCATATATACATATATATGTAGCTACTATGCGTAATAACTGCCCCGTTTATGTAGTACAACTTACGCTCAACTAAGCTTACAGCTCATTTCGGTATGTTCAATGTACGTTAGGGGCAATTGAAATTACTATGACTGCAAGTACTGTTTCTGCACTTATTACAGTTAACAATGGCCAAGCATCTATTGTCTGCAACGTTAATTACAGTGCTAATTATATATATATATATAGGTTTATCAAGAAGGTTGATGCATATACTGTTCCTCATATCTAACATGTTGTTTAATTGAGGTAGAGTTTGCGATATTTTCACGAATCCCTTATCAAGAGACTATTTTTTTTATTTATTTAGCGACTGATATTCCGCTCCAGCCTTGACTGTACATTGACTAGTTCATAAATATGCTAGACGTAACTAAGCGTACTGTGGGATTTAACAATACTGCTAAACAGGCCGAACGCTACGCTGAGTTTCGTTATCCTAGAAACTTGATAATAAACTCAATAAATTACCATGGCCAGAGAAAGAAAGACATTCTCTGCTTCATTTCTATAAATTTGTTTCTTTGCAATTGCTCGTTCTTCCGGTGGTACCGTTCACTTCAGTTGTTAGCTATCCCTCCGATAATGGTTGCGTATTATAGTTCTAACCATATTATATATATATAGTTCTATATATATATAATATGGTTATATGTATATAATATGGCTATATATATATAATATGGAACTATATATATTATATATATATATATAGTTCTATTGATAATATTCAAGATAATTTGATTTATTCATACGAATAGGTTGAACTCGAAAGAGTATTGACAACATTTGCTGCAACATTTCCTCTATGTAATCTGTTACGTTTTTTTCATTCGGCTTTGTTTTTCTAATCTTCCGTTTTCGGTTGTTTTCATTCGACGGATATCTGCGCAGGTGTCAACGGCCGGGGTGCGATACAGAATTTTGTTATCACTGCAAACAAGAGTGGCACCCGAATATCACCTGCGATATGGCTAGACAACAGCGTCAGGAAAATGGCACAGGCCTATTCCCGCCGTTTGCGTTCGCTTCGACATCGTCGGGGGCTGGAGCAGGCGGAAACGGCGGTGGAAAACTTTCGGGAAAAGAAGAGATGAAAAACTGCCCGAGCTGTGGTGTATGTATCGTGTTAATAAAGCATATTATAATAACTGAGAAGTTTGATGCTTTACAGGGTACACAAACAAAAAACTGTTTGTCCCTACAACAACAACAAACAGCTTTGTGTATCCGATACCTTCGGTGTTATGGATGACGTTATTAAATATGGTGTGCCCATGAAATAAGTTATAAATAATCGATCATTTAATAATGGTATCTAATCAAGTTTCTGTATAGCATTTGTAGGTAATCAGTGTGATTTTTACCATTTGGCGGAACAATACGCTACAAGTAATGTGCCAGGTGCAGCTAAACGTAAAAGCATGGGCTATAAAAATTACGTGTATTTCTATAGCCAAACTGACTATGACTAAGCTCTATTGTCATCTTGCTGGGCAGCCATAGCGCTTTATAGTCCGATGGTTCATGTTATGACAATAGAGTTGTGATTTGGCGTGAATATTTGGCTACGTTCCACATTTCTTCTTCGTTTCAAATTTATAAACAGCGATGACAGAAATTTGCAAATAATTATAGACGTTTTTTGTTTGTTTACAGATGCAAATTATTAAGGCCGACGATGGCAGCTGCAATCATATGACATGTGGAATCTGTGGCAAAGAGTTCTGTTGGCTTTGTGTTAAACAAATTACGGATCTGCACTATTTGTCGCCGTCAGGATGCACTTTCTGGGGTAAGAAACCATGGTCGCGCAAAAAGAAAATCCTTTGGCAGCTCGGTATGCTCGTCGGCGCTCCGGTTGGAATCGCTCTGATAGCCGGTATTGCAATTCCTGGTATTATTATTGGTAAGCACGAAGGCTTTATTTTGTTTAGCCATTGGAGACATCTATGTCGACCGGTTTCGTACAATTTTCAGTTTACATATGAATAAAATAAACTAAACTGCCGTTTCATGCAACGAACATAACGTGAGAAAAATACGAAATACGTACATCAGACGTCGGAGACTAAGTCCTTCAATTTATGCGCATGCATTACGGTAGTCCGTTTCGGTTGAACCTTACACCTCCTAGTAGGATAGAAACTGAAATAATGATGTAGCGTTTAGCTAACTTCGTGGCAGATTTGCTGTGTGGATGTATTCCGCCGTTTCAATAATATCAGCAAGTAGGTGTGTATGTGGCCGGAACATCAGAAGTATTAGTATACCTCGTATCGACTACATATACAACGCATTATATTCGTATAGATTCAGCGTAATTAGAAACCTTGTATTTCAAACACTGTTTCGTCTTTTCTTCCAGGTATACCTGTGTTTATCGGAAAAAAAGTCTACGCCAAGTGTCGTGGGAAGAGCGCGCTAAAGCGGAATGCCGCGGTCACACTCGGAGTCATTTTGTCGATGGTGTTTTCACCGATTGTGGCCGCCATAGCCGTTGGAATTGGAGTTCCGATCCTACTTGCGTATGTTTACGGGGTCGTACCGCTCAGCTTACTCAGATCTGGTACGTGTGAGAGCGGGACCAGGATGTAAATTCTACCGGTAAATGCACCAACGGTGTAGATGTAGACTACAACAGTAGATCTGAAGCAGTTCTCTACTGTAGCAAGAACAAAGTTGAATAGGCGGAAAGAGGCCAGGGTTGAAAACGTAGCTGAAAATCGATCTCGATTTATCCGTGTGACCGAATAACACGCGAAGCTCTGCCAATTATCTTTTTATGCACCTTCTTCTAACAACCCAATTGAAATCATGAGCACTACGAACAGTCCTGTCTGCATCCGATGACCGGAGCATTGTGACGCTTCTTGTACGCCCGCGCTTCTATTGGTAGAGTCGCATGGAGGCGATTTTACCGACAAAGATGAAGATAACTTCTACTGCGGCAAAAAAAAAAGTGTCTTCTCGATTTCCGACATATCTTGATTTCGGATGTGTCACCGCACACCGATCACGTGATTTCACATCGATCGTTTTGTTTGATCATTTGATGTATCTTGTTAGGTGGATGCGGGGTAAAGGCATCGTCATCCGGAGTGAGGCTAGAGTTCGACGAGGGCCCAGGTCTCTATGAACAGCAGGCCGAAGAGAGAGAAAAGGCGCTTGATTCGCATCGAGATCAGAATTCGCAGGAAAGGCAAACCCGCGGTAGCCAGGGCGGTCTCAGCCATTCGGCGTCATCCTCCTCACAACAGCAGCATCATCACAGGAGAACGTCGAAGACGACTATATCTGGTTTGTATATACACGAAGCATTCGATGCGGACCATTGGGGCCAATTGTCTAAAAGTTTACTAGAATTATGAACTGATTGACTTTTCAAGTTCAATCACAATGAAAGATTTACTATAGAACCGTTGCAAAAAAAAGAGAGAGAAGCGGTCAAGGCCTTATCAAGCCGTAGTCATTAATGATTCTAAGTGGACATTAGATGCAATGTAGTTGAACCATCGGTCAGCAAAAATAAAAGAAGAAATGTATGCGACTACTTGCTTGTAGACTGCGCATAACAATCGCTTCGCACTAATTGTGGTGTCCGTTACCGACCGAATTTTTACCGATTTCGACCGAATATTTTTTTTCAGGCACGGAGGACCACATCAGCATCAGTGTCGGTGATGTTGACTCGGTTCTGAGCGGGCGAACTCAAGAATCTGGCGGCGGAGGATCCTGTGCAGGTGCGAGCGGCTCAGGCCGGTTACATACGGTCACCGTTCACATGGAGCAAGATCGAGCGAACCAGGACTCCACGAGAGCGCTCGCTGGAAGTCTCCTGAACTACGATCCACCTGTCAACGAAGGGACGAAATAGAACTGAACCGCAAGTAGCCAACGTTACGCCTAAACACCTCTGCCTTGCCCCCTTGGTAAGACAAACGAGATGGAAAGGACATCGTTTCTCAAACGTGATTACCACGGCATCGAAGACAAGCTATTGGAGCACAGCAGACGCAGCACTTGACATATGGTCAACTACCCCTTTCGCTTATATGAGTTGTCGGTTGGTTCTAACTTCTAGCTAAACAAATCTAACGCTATAACAAAACTTGTCTAGGCAAACAGGATACAGGTGTACGTGTTGTAAGGAGGTACCGAATTCGAAAGAAAGCTGTCAAAAAATTCATAAGCAACTTATCTTCTCGTCCGCTCATCTATCGACGATTTGGTCATTAAGTAAACAAACACTCAACCATATTAATGATTAGTTCGATATAAATAAATGCAGCCTTTTTTTCAAAATTAATATGCATAGACCTAGCTGTTGGATACACCTAAACGACAGAGTTTTGAGGTCGATATTTCGTGATAATCGTTGTGTAGTCTGTGACTGTCTGGCGTATAGCCTGGTACCGCATCATATAGAGTGATATGGCAGATATCAAAACAAAACTATTCGAAGATAAGGAACAGCGAAAGAAGAAGCAGTAGAAGTATGCGATTCGCTTCGGGCACAATGGCGTGTTGCATTGCCATCTCCCTTGTTGTCATGATATTGCTGTCTTCGTTAAGCTAACCTAATGCTATGAGTCGCGTGTGCATTTGTTATTTGTGTATTAGAGTTTATACATCCTTGGGGGCCCCACACTGTCCATGTGTGACTCAGTAGGTAAGAGGGGTGACCTAGCTGTAGCATGAGCGCGTGCGTATAGGTCATGATGAGCCTTAAAAGGAATGGCAATTAATTTTTGGCCGAAACTGACCAGCAAGGCAACAGAATAATGTGAGAAAAAACAGAAGCAATTTAAATATGGTGGTAGTTTGCATTCAAGATGGTCTGTTAACCAACAAACAATTCCCAGCGGCAAATACTGTCAGTAGTTAGAAAAACTTTAAAGCTGATCTACGATGAAGGTTTAGGTCAGGCGTAAAAGTCCTAAATTAATTGCGATTCGCTCATTTGCGTAGAAATTCGCTTGATTTAGTCTTTGGAACGTTACTCACTAAACACTGAATGACGTACGTGGTCAATATTATTGTAATATTAATATACATATAGTTATACATTAAATGCAGCTTCAGTCTCACTCAGCTAGTAGCAGACCCTGACTATCTATCCGTGGGACTTCTTGCTAGGAAGTTTTATTTATGACGGCTACCGCTAAATCCTTTGTTAATCTTGACATAACGGAACCGTTCTGCGTTGTTGGTGGGCTAACTTACCGAAAACTACGCGAATTACATCAGTGCTGCTATGATAAAACGTAGTCGATGGAGAAAAGGTCGCCTGCTGGGGGTCTCTGTATAGGGGCTAAGTCAGAGAGGATATGGGCTTAAGTGTGTACGTATTTTCCTTGTATGTGGTTATATATACGGATTGCAAGTAGCAGGTGAAAAATTAACAATATTTGGAAGAATCGAATAGCACGAAACGGTCGATCAAGCGAAAGCTTGTGTTGTCAATGTATTTGCAAGATATGCCGTGAGTACCAAACGCTGTGTACAGATGTAGCAGCTCACTATAGCGCATATACATTAAATATATATATATATATATATACATGAAATAATATATACATATATTTTTAGAAGAGTACTCAGCCAAAGAAACGCGTTCCCATACCTTTGGGTATGGATAAATCATAAAGCACTGTACGAGTTTGCACGCACGTAAGCGTGATTTCGTGGGCTTTTGAGGGGCAGGAGCAAAATGAAAAAGATGGCTTAGACCCTTAAAAGCAACAAGCGGCTTCAAATAAGAGGGCTTACAAGTGTGGTTACGTCGTTGTGGGTAGTTTAGTTAGACCTGATCCAGGTCACAGTACTAGGGAAGAAAAGACACCTAAAACGGATTACATGCACACGTCTTGGGGGAATGATTAGAATAGAATTGTTAGGTGTACCGACGCTGCGAATCTGGTAGTCTACGACGGTGCTAAGTCGAAACTTTTGTTCCAGATTCGATATATATATATATATATATTGCTGACAGACAAAAACCATTTACGGGGTGGTGCTTCAAAGTGACGAAACGTTGACAATGATTATTCCCAATATTATCCCTGTCACACATCCCATCTAGATGGAAAAAGATGTGCATTGCCATATGTCTCATCGATCTAAATATATATATATATATATATATATATATATATATAGAAAACGACTACTGTTAAGAATTTTGTTGGAAAGCAAATGCCATGATACAAAAGTCTGTAAAATAGTAAAATGCGAGAAATGTTTTTACAGTAAAAGAGGTTGATGCAAAAATTTATTAGCAAAATCCTACAAAAAAGCGTAGAAATGTCGCGGTATAGGATAATATAACGATGAAAATTACGCTACGATATGATGCGATTATAGAGGTAGCTGTATGTAACTGAATTAAGAAATTTCTATAAGCTGTACGCCTGGCTTAGTTGCGTAGCCTAACAATAGGCGTAGCTGCTACCGCTCGGTCGTTTAACTTTACTTTGTACTTGTATTAGCGAAAATTTACAAATATGCAGATTTTTCATTTTGCTTCATCCCTACCTGCCTCCTTCTTTCATATCTGACTTTAGCTACTGATGTAATATATAATGAAGAAATGTGTAGAATCATTATTTGATAAAAACAAAAGCGCCTAACCAACACGGAAGTCCATCAGCAGGTTCAGAAATAATGGCTTGTAGTTTCGTTGTCAAATGAAAACAAGTGGTTTTGCTTAATCTGTTCGGCGTAGAAGAGATGTGTGCATTCATATCTAAAATGTGAATTTGAATGTTGACTAGATAGAAGCAAAAAAATAGTAAATTATCAAACGAGCACATCTTGGACGCTACCTCCGGGGAAGCAAGGGGGTCTCCCCCACTATAATTTTTTTCGATGATAGCACAGGTGAGCCTGTCACCAGCATGAGCACTACAGCAGAAGCAACAATGGCAAAATTATTTAACAACAACAAGTTCAAAAAACAAAAAGTGAAAACGATACAGAAATAGTCCAAATGCAGGTTCCCGAAATCCCCCGACCCAGAACGGCAAACTGAATCAAAGGTGACTACGTTTTTTTCTATGGTTGAAATAAAAACAAACAGAAAATGTAATGTAGAAATACACACAAACAAATGTTTTTATATATATATATATATATATATATATATATATATATATATATAAAGAATTATTGATTATTACGGACTAGAAGTGGTAGTAAATGTTGTTACACAAAGATATACTTTAGGTCAGAAACGAAGGCAACGCTTGGGCAATTGAAGGCCAAGTTACAGATTAGGTTAATACTAGGCTCCTAAGACTAAAGAAAGTTGGAAATGTGATTAAAAAGGTAATTGGACGCGAAGTTGATTATTAATTTTAATGATGATGATAGTGTTGTAACAACGCTATTTGAAGACGTAATGAGAATTATGTAATAACGGTCGTGTGGAAACAAAAACATTGTATATAGCGACAGAAGTGGGAAAAATACAACTTTACCGTAAATACTGCGAGTGAAACTCTGCGTATTCTCAACGAGTTTTGTGTTCTCAATTTGGTCATAGAGAGTATCATCGAGGTTAAATAAGATGAGTAGCTATAGTAAGACGTAGTTTATTTTTGGCCTCGCATGTGATGGTAATTTTGTTATGTTTTTAAATTTTTTAGCATACAAATATTTCGAATAAAACGTCACTCAGTGTATTTTTGACGGATTCGTCATTCGATAATTCCGTCAAATCATTGAGTTAGTCTAGTACTTTCGAAAAGTGTGTCTGTACATTGCTTTTTTAACCTTGTCGGATAAATATTCTTCATTGTTTCAAACGTTCACTTAGGCACTTGTTCTACGCATATCAAATATACGCTTGTAATTTCAACTGCGTGTTTAATCAGTAGTTAATTAGAACTACAGGGCGTGCAAGTACTTCGGGAGCATCATATCAAGTCCAGGAAGACTTTGTCGCGTGTTTGTCTTTGAAATAGAATTTGTTAGATTCAAACATTCACCCGCACAATGAAACATGAGGTTCTAAGTACCTGCAACAACTATTCAAAACTGTAGTAGGTATAATCATCGCTATTACCAGTTGGATCTATTAAAACTTGATGTTATATTTTTATTTAGGAGCGGCAGTACTCCTCTCAATAGGCTCTCAAGTGTGGACGTCTGTGCTTGTTTTCCATAGAAACTCCAAACCACAAAAGACACCCATTATGACCTCTCGAAGAAACTCAGCTATGCTGGACTATATACACCACACTGATAACACGTGCACATTGATTCTAGTAACGTAGTATATTATAGTCATATTCTCACTAAACCGCAGATTCTTGTATAGTCACCGTTACCTATGCTATGAGTTCTAGCTTGATCTTCTATGCATAACGCAGGCATGCTGTTCTCTCTCTCGTTC